TTACCCTTGCAAATTGAATTTGATGAAGATTAAGAGTTCTAGGTTCATTCTCTATTGATGATTTCCTATCTAATGGAACCACTGATGACCCTGCCATTTTTGCCGTCTATATGTATGGAACAAAGATGTTTCTGTTTTGTCGTCAACAAACAAGAAAATATTCCAAAGTTCTGAAAGAATACTTTTTGATGTTTATTCTGATAGCTTTTCGCGATCCCTAGAGGCTCTTTATATAGTAAGTTCCCACGTTTATTTTGGGGGTTGGGGAGGAAAAAGAAAAAGCAAAACGCATTGATTCGGAATCCTTTACATTAATGAGGCCTGTAGTTTGTCCCTATTACGATAAGGTCCTACATAGAATCTTAAATTACAATAGTTTCCTTCATATACTCTTTTTCTTTCAAGTGTTTTTAAAAGGAAGGAGTACTGTGAGGCGAGGTTCTTTACTTACATGTCTAATTGTTATATAGGCTAGTTTCGAGTGGTAAGCACTTGGGCGTGTTTCGGACGCATAACAAGCGCTTAAGGTATAAACTTCATAAAATTAAGTTTTACGCGTAAGTCTCAAGGCGTTTTGATAGTACTCGCACTCCAGGAAGAACCCCAAAGTAAATCTCAAAAAAAATCTATTAAAATATTATTTCTTTTGAAGGGTTAATGATAGTCTTGATCTTACATGCATATTAGACATCCTAATCAAAGATAATTTGACATAAAATTATAACTAGTGGCGCCTGAAATATTCTTTGCTAAGAGGTTTTACATAATTACATATATTATTTCGTTAAAAATTTCTCATATAAGTAAATATAAGTAAATTCAAAAATAACCTATGATTGATAGTAAAACTTTAATACTATTGATGTCTCTTAATTTTCAGAAGAAAATATAATAATACTTGCAAAATTTTGTATACGCCACTAGTTTTAACTTTAAGTCATTGATATCTAGTATTTTTTCTTTCTTCCTTTTTTGAGAGAGCCCGTTTGGATGAGTTTATTTTAAGTGACTTTTAAGCCAAAATAGTTTTTAATCCATAAGTTATAATTATGAATTAGAGCCCGTTTGGATTGGCTTATTTTAAGTGCTTTTAAGCCAAAATAACTTTTAAGCCATTTTGTAGTGTTTGGATAGAGTAAAAAAGTGCTTTTAAGCATTTGTTTCTAAGCTAAAATGACAAAAACAAGCCAAAAGCCAAAAGTTAGAATTCCTAACTTATGGCTTAAAAGCTATTTTGGCTTAAAAGTCACTTAAAATAAGCCCATCCAAGCTATTTTGACTTGTTTTTGTTTTTAGCTTAAAAATAAGTACTTAAAAATACTTTTTTACTCTATTCAAACACAACAAAACAGCTTAAAAGTTATTTTGGCTTAAAATCACTTAAAATAAACTAATCAAAGCGGACTCTAAATCCATTTCGAAGTGGTACGCAAGAAATCAACTAAATATTTAACACATGGGATGTTAGCACAATTCTTGAAACTAGAAGGGGGAAGTTTAAAGTTTTAACAAATGAGAGGGTGTCACGTGAGTTATTTAAAAGAGAACATGAGGCTAAGATAAGCTAGAACACAACGAAGTGCAACGTGGCAGACAAAATCATTACATTTTCGCCGACGTGGACTTAAGGACGGCTAAATTGGACACGTGTGCATTGCTGGAATTACCATATTCAGTTATAGAAAGCCCCCAAAGTGAATCTGAATGTTTTTTCTAAAAGAAGAATATACGTGTTCTCTGCAATTTACTCTAACCAATAAGGTTAGTACACGGTTCATTGGATGGCTTGGACTTTGGACGGACAGGATCTGATATTGGACACGTGTAGCAAATTGGAGAAATTTCTTTAAAAAGTCTTTTTCCGTATATATGTGTTATCTTCATGTGATGTTTAGACGGAAGCATATCATGCCTTTTGTATATAGATTTTTGTTCTACTCAGACTTACCTTGCTTTTATCTCAAGATAATATTTATTCCCTTTTGCATATTGAATCTATTATATATAGCCTTAATATATAGATCGGTTTGGTTTGGCTTTATTAAAATCAAATCAAAATAACTATATTGATTTGGATTGGTTCGATTTTATTAGATTTTTCAAAAATATTTGTTATATGAATATTATTTCAATCTTACTTTATTAAAGTTATAGATAAAATTTTGATAAGTGCATATATGTTTAGTAAAAATTAAAAAAAACTAACAAACATATGATCTATTACATATTCTTATGGGATAATTTTTTTAGTAACAGATGACAGTTATTTTCTTAGTCGTCTAATAATAATTTTTATTGATATGCGCTTTCAAGGTTAATCAAATTTAATAATTAAACATAAAAATCAATATGATACCTAAATAATGATATGTTCTATTTATTTTAAATTATCGAAATACCATTTCAAATTCGAAAAAGTTTTAAGAATTTAGTAGATCTTGACATATGAATATGAAAGAACAAAGAGATTGACGCATTTCAATAACACTTGATAAGAAAGTGATGATACAAGCCATTATTCAAAGTAAATAAAAATGGATGCACTTCATAGTTCTATTAAATATTATATCACATGAGAAGATTCAAATATTTAGATATTTTTTTAAAAAAAATCTATATATAGTCTTAAAAGTATATATAAAAATTATATATTTATATATCGTTTTGCTTCGAATTTTTTATTCAATATCAAACCAAACCTAATCAGATATTTTAATCGATTTGGTGTGATTTTTCAATTTTGTGTGATTTTCCAATTCGGTTTGAACACCACTAAGCACAACAATAAAAACTTTCGTGTGTGATCAGGAAATCATGAGTTCAAACTATAAAAATAGCCCTAAATATAAAATAAGACTGACTCAATATAGTCTAGTTCTTTTTCAGTTTCCGTGCGCACTCGACTCTTTTTATTTATTATGCAGTTTAATTTGTCAATTTCATAATTAATTTTTTTGATTCAAGTATAAATATCAAAAGCGGATAAATAGTCTTCTCACGTGAAACATGGAGTAATAAAATGAAGATGTCGGTTAAGTTGGTAGAATAGGCAGAAATTTTCTTGGTTTTGGTTTTGTTGGTAGAGTTTTACTTTGACCCGATGTGACAAACAATTATTGGCAGTGATCAATTCTTAATATAGCAACAAGGAAGACGTATGCTTTTTCAGACCCAACGTTTTCGTGAAGACTTTTATCTCTAAAATTATCATGTGTTTGTCTTAGGTCATTGACAGCCGATTTCAATTTTGCGACATCTTAAATTAATACAAATTGTTAGTCGCAACCGGGTTCGAGCCGTGGAATCAACCATTATTATTTATTTTAGGATAAGTTGTTTATATCATACCCTTTAGGGTGCAGAGCAATCCTTTTCCGAATCTAGTATGAACGCGGAATACCTTGTATATTGCACTGTCTTTTTTTTAATCACAAACCTCAAATATAATACACCTAGCAAGAACAAATATATGAATAAAAAAAAAATCCCATCCTAAATGATAGCATGGGAACCAACATGACAATGCACTTCTGAACTATGGTTAAGTCTCATACTCCAAACTCCTTTTTTTGATTTTTATGAACAAAGAAATATTCACCTACTTCCGCTAAATTTAGTATTTGTCAAAAGAGTTCTCACTCTAAATATTTAAAATAATATGCCCATGTGACATATTTTGAAGTTTGTGAGTTAATTGAATATTTACTTAATGGAACTTTTGCAAAAAAATTTGGGACCTCTTACCTGAAAGTAGGGGTGCAAACTGCGGATCGAATCGGACGTGGGCGGTTCAAAAATAGGTAATATAAAAACAGATAAATTATCCGATTCAAACCATATTTAATACGAATAAAAAATGAGTTAACCGGCGGATAATATGGATATTCATATCATTCATGGCTTCTTGAATATAATCACTTTTTGGAGAATTCCTAATCTCCCAAACTTGTAGAAATGACACCAAGTAGCACTATAAAGTGCTGCAATTTAGAAATTAGCCAGTGCGTCCTGAACTTCAATTTTTCGGTTTAATTTTTCGGGACAAAAGTGTTTTGGATTGTTCTGAAGTTAAAATTTTTAGTTTAAAATTTCAGGACAAAAATAATACTGGCTAATCTCTAAATAGCATTCCTGAGAATGGCTATCTCTGCACTTGCCCCCAAACTTGAAAAACCTCCGATTTGAGACAAAAGTTAAACTCATTGGTTTATTTGACCCATTTCTTTAAAAATCCATTATCCAAACTATTTTTTAATGAATTATATAGGTGGATAAGTATTTTCGTTTAACCATTTTGCCAACACTACCTAAAAGTAGGGGAAATTGACAGGATTCTCTTTCGAAGTACAATAAAAAAATTGAGCAACTCCACGCTCAAGGAAAGTGCAATTTTCATTTACATCAGATCTCTTGCATGAGTATCGACCTTAATTGGAATCTAATCTCAGTTCATTTAAGGTTCTAAGAGCTCAATCGCACTCATTCTTGTGACAAACTTATCAAACAAAGAAATCCGAAATCCGATTTCTCAATCGGTCAATCCTATACGGCTTTTAATGAGGCCAATCACTTGCATCTACACTTCTATTGTTTTTAGTCATGCAAAAATATTCAATTCTTTTCACTAAATTCAATTTGAAGAAAAAAAAGAAACTCCTACTATAATTTTGGCTTTTACAAACTAGAAGAGGAGACTTATATATTTCACAATTTGGAGGAGAGCTATTATTATACCCACCACCAACTACTAGAAAACAAATTGCTTTTTCGGTCTTAACAGTAAGATGCAAAGTATCAAAAACAGGTTGACCAATTAAATCTAAGAACAGTTGGAAATATAAAGAGAAAGAACAAGACAACAAAACAATCAAGGCACAAATACCAAAAAAGTATCATGCACGCAAATATTGATAGAAACACCTTAAGCTTAAGGGTCGAGATTTTGCAGATGAATGAAGTTCAACAGTGCTTTTTGGTTAAAAGATTAATAAGATAGAATAGAGCTGAACACCAGAAAGGTATATAAGATTGAACACAAATATTGTAATGAATTTTCGACCACCAGCAACTCTGAGTTATCAGTGTGCTATCAAACCAAGAGTACCACATAACAAGCTAAGATGGGAATGAAGATGAAACAACAAACCACTTGAAATATAACTTGAAGTTGATTTAGCAATATCTTTAAGAAGATAAATTCATAAAACTCCCAAAATAAATTATACCATAACTTGTTCAAATGAGAAAAGCAAAGAGCCAAACTAAACCCAAAACGCAAGGGCTCAAGCACTTCCTTAGAAATATCTGCCTTACCATCCTTAGAAATATCTGCCTTACCAACATTTGACTGACAGGTAAAAACACAAGAAAGACCTCCCAGTATAACTGACAAGGCTTCGTCAGTGCATCCATCAATCTCAAGAGTCACCTCAGCCTTGACAAATATGAAGGAGCCACCACAAAGAGCAAATATGCTCGAATTAAACAGATCTCCCAGTATAACTGACAAGGCGTCGTTAGTGCATCCATCAATCCCAAGAATCACCTCAGCCTTGACAAGTATCAAGGAGCCACCACAAAGAGCAAATATGCTCAAATAAAACTTTCTTTGCTGCACCCCTGAAGACAAGATGACAAAACAAACAAGGAAAATGAGAACCCCACGTAAAACAACCGAGAACACATCATAGACTGCAGCATGTACCTGCAGCCCCACTGACCATAAGTTAGAGGAGGTTTATGTAACCTCGTCATAGATGCTGCAGTCTCTACACTGTAAGATGATCAAATCACCTAAAACCGAAAATACAGAGAAAAAGAAGCTTTTCCCCCTACCCTTCTAACAGCCAAGACAGGTCACATCGATTACATGACCAAAAGACCAATGTAAAACCAGTCACAAAATTTATATCCTACAGTGGACTCTCAATATTGAATAAATACGCTATTTTCCACCAAGAGTATCCAATATCTCATTTGCTGTCCACAAACGCATTTATGTAGACAAACAGATCGAACATGAAAGCTTGTACCAGCGACGAGAATTGTCATCAGAAATAATGAGATCTACCTCTTTCCATGTTTTGAGCAGCGAGTCTACTGCTCTCCTCTGGATGCTTGTAAGAGCTAACACTGAAGTTGGTCGCAGCATTATAACCCTGACTTACGTTGTTCTGATAATAATTATAAACCTGCAATTAACGAAATCAATTAGTAAGATATGGGAAACGAAAGAGAAATCTTGATTTATGAGAACAAGGTATCACCATGTCAGAATGATTCACTTGTTGAGTGTAACTTTCAGGGAGCATCGGGAGCTGATTTTCGCAGAAATCTTGATTTATGCCCAAGGAATTGTTTCCAAAACAGAACTGCTGCACATCAATGTTAGATTTATATGGCGCAGATAAGTTGCTCGGCGCTAATCGTCCAGTTTCGATGGTTCCAGCAGAGTGATCCAAAGGGATTTCAAGATCATTGAGCTCCATATAGGCAGCATCTTTTGGCAGAATCATGGGGTTAAGACTATAACTGGCTCGCCAGCTTGCAGAGAGATCAGATCTCGATTGACCCAGTCCTTCCCAGTTCTCGATGTGACCAAGGCCGTCGAAAATATCATTCCCATCAGTAAATGGATCAGGTAGAGCATTCATATCTTGGTTAAAGTTCTCTAGATTCTGTTAGAAAAAAGAAAGGGATAATGGTCAATACACAGTAAAAAAACAAGTTCCAAAAATACAGTAAATGCCTGTACAAGTAGCTATGCTATAACAGCACTAAAGCATACCCACCTGATTATTCTCATTGCCATCAGATAGCAAAGTAGTATCTTCTGTGAAATGAGCTAATAGACCAATGATCTCATCATCTTGCTCATCCAGAGGCATCTTATTAGTACAAAGCCGAGCATTAGATGGACCTGGACCACGGTTAATCATGCTGGTATCAATTAAACTCTGTTTTTCAGGCAGTACAGGCAGAGCAGAAAAAATATTGGATGGGTTTGATTCACCAGCCACCCCCTCATTATCTAGCTTATCGGAAGGCATCCAATTGATAGGAGATACATTGGATGGATGTGGTTCACCTAGAACCTCAATATTTGGCTCATCCAAAGGCATTCTCTGAATAGAAGATAGACTCGGACTCGGTTGACTTGAAGGCAAGCCAGATGTGCTTCCTGGGTTAACCATGCTGGTCTCACTCTCAATTGAGTAGTTCTTATTGTCAGGCCTTCGAGGTGGAGCACATAAAACATCTGATGTACAAGGTTCAGCAGGAATCTCATCGTCTTCCCAATCTGCCTCCTTAAAAGGTGCTCCATACTGTGCACCATTTTTTGGACCTGGCCCACTCTTCTGGAATACTTTACATAGCACATATGAATCCTACAAAACAAGGCTTTGATGAATAATAAGTTCTAAAATTTTCAAAAAAAAATAAGGAAAGATGAGACTACTGTACGAAGACCCACAGTAATATAAAGAACCAATATCTAACTCGAGTCTTAAACCGTTGGATCCCTCCAAAGAGCCTAGCAGAGCTAAGATTGGCTGATAATTTGTTTTTATAAAGATTATGATAGGCTAAATTATACTATAGAATTTGAGGAACTTGAATTTTCAGAGTCTTTTCTAACATAGGCTGAAGAAATTGAAGATTGAAGATGGAAAGAAAATGCTTGACGTCGCACAATCTTCAAACAAGAGAGCAGTATGCAATATATATACTGTATTTTAGTTTATTAGATGTTTCCACCTGAGTTGCATAACTTTTCCAAATTTCCTACCTACCATCCAAGCATAGGAATCGTGTGCCATGACATAACTTGAAAAACAGATTTGACCTATTAAAGAAATTAAAAGTCTCAAAAATATGAGAAAAGAAAGACGTGGCGTGCAAGATCACAATTAAGGAAAACCAAAGACCTAGACCTACCAATTCATTACATTTTCTGATCCAAATCTATACAAGAATAGTGCCATCGACACTATTCTCCATGATCACAAGTGAAGGATCAATGAGAAACAGATGCAATCTTTAAGAAATTAAGGCTTCCAAAAGAATAAGAGAGTCTATCTTGGTATACTTTCATTTAAGGAAAACCAAGGATCTATAACCTGTCAACCACCGCCAGGAAATTTCAAATTAAGAAAAATAATTGCTACAAGATAATAATACAGATCAACAAGATAGTAGGGTACTAGGTACTAGGGAATATATCGTCTAAATAGTATCCCAGGAACATTAATTCCGAGAATGAGAGAAGATGATCCGTTTAGCACGATGTTTTAATCAAGGTTCTCACAGACGGGCACTAGATCAAATTACAGTAAACCAAGTGCAAGCTGAAAAGCGGGAGAGAATACTGCAAGGGGCTCTCATTGGCTACTGATACAAGCACAAGAAGAAACAGCATCAATAAAAATTAGATACTATTTTAGCAAAGGTAGATAGAAGTACCTGAGCAAATCCTGCATCAGCCAATTCTTTATCTTCAAACTTGTATTCGTGAATAACCCAATCAGTTCTCTGCCCTCGCGGGGGATGGCCTTGGTGGAACACAAGAGTTTTAACTGATCCAACAATCTTTTCATCGTAATTAATGTATCTATCTTTCCCAGTAGTTTTCCAGTAGCCAGTTTCAGTAGCACGATTCATTCTGGCTCCACTTGCATACTTTCTCTCCCTTGGGCAAAAGAAATACCATTCTAGATCTTTACTTTTATAGCAACATTTGTCTGCAAGAAGATATTAAAACATTATGCAAAGTTGAACAAGGACAAATAAAATCATTAACCAGACTTGAAATAAATATACTACTTCAGTCCCCCAAAAAGGTACTGTCCAAATGCTAGAGATTTTGACTGAAAGTAACAACTTGGGAAGTTAAATAATGAAACAGAAAGGAAAAGATAGGCTTTTATCACTACGGCTTCCAAATGCCACTTTAGAGATTCAAAGCAGCTAAAACTAATATCCCATAAGTAGATATTTCATTAACCAAACTGATGCTTGTCCTTTCTCAAAGCATTAATTTTTCTCCCAAGTACAGCACAGAGACAACATAGCACATTATGTATATGATTTTCAAATGTAGAACATTTGTAGAATACGTGCAACCTTTATTATGTATGGGATTCCTCTAGATTCTTTTCAAGTAAAAGTTGTTGCTTTTCCATATATAAAGAAATGAAGAAAGGACACCCTTTTGGTGGAAGTACACAGTATGCAACTACAGAATAAAGGCTCCATAGAGAAAATTTGAAGCAGAATGTGCGCCAGAGGTAAGGGGTTCGTATATTCTTACGTAAACCAAGTTTAGAAGAATGCAATATTTTAACAAATTCTCCAATAAAAACTATAAACAGATACCTGGAAGGTCCCACGGGGAGAACTTGTAGATGTTGAGTTCCGTTATGGCTTCAAAATGAAGTTTTTTCCCCATGATCTTCCTCTTGAGATAGTACATAATCAGCTCAACATCAGTTGGGTGAAAGCGAAACCCCGGCGGAAGCCTCGCCATTGAAATAACCAGAAAAAAAACGGCCAAACTAAGTGAAATGAACCAGCCCCAAAAGGGCTCGCTGAGTAAGAACTAGAGTAAAATTAATAGTGGCAATAAACTTAACAGAGCTATGTGCAAATACACCAGAGCCTCCAATCCCCCACCACAAAAATCCTCAACTGCTGTCAAGTCCAATGCCGAAACAAGATCTTTCCTGCACACCACAGCCTTCCGCGGTTCATAAAAAGGAATGCACCCCTAACAAAAAACTGATGTTTCTTGCTGGAACCAACAGACATCTGGTGCACAATTCAAAAACCTGTTATTCACGAAATCATCAGCCTCCCAAATCAAACCAAATAATACCAATTTAACAGAAGCTCCACCAGTTGATCACCACCGAGGGAAAGTAAAATATCTCAATAACCAGCACAATCAAAAGAGCTTTCAAAAACTATAGAACACCAGATTGACAAACACCAAGATGACAATAAAACAACTGAGCAAACACTAATCTTCACAAAGATATATGGTCAAGATGTCATAGTCTAGTGTTAAAGTTCCATTTTTTTCCTCAACAAGTTCAATTCTTCGCATCAAAAAAGCTCAAATACAAGACCATCAGGGGCGTATCCAATGAACAAGCTATGGGCTCATCTGAACCCATAACTTCCAGTAAATAAGATGGAGGTGGTATAATTACAAATCTGAACCCATAACGTTCAGATCCTGGATCTGCCTATGGAGACCATTAAATACTAAAGTGAGATTGAAGCATGAAATGTTTGTGAATTGAATCCACTTCACAATTTAAGCCCTAATGGTAAAATTTAAACGCTGATCCATACGGATGAGCACAACTAAAATTTCACAGCCTAAAAGACACAAATAGACAATACTAGAAAGGAAAATAATCGGCACCACGGCAGATAAAAAAATAATCGGCACAACGAGAAATAACAGGAAAATAACAGGAGTCATCATTGAAAAATCCTAAACCTCGACCAAAAACACAATAAAGTCAGAAAATAAAATCAGCAAAAATGTATGTAACAACAAATAAAAGAACACAGAAATGGGCAACACGAGAAAGAAGAAACTAATCGCAGTGTATCAAACCCTAAAATCCCTACAAATAAATTTCGAAAAAAAAAACACACAATAAATTGACAAAATTATATAACTAAAAGAGAACAGAATAATAAAATCAAGAACGATTGAAAAGTGAACTTACCCAGAAAGGGGACGAACCGGAGAAGCCAAAGGGAGCGAAGGGGAAGAGAATGGGAAGGGCGGAGAGGAGTGATATAAAGGGGGCGAAAGTGAATCGAAATTGTAGAGCGAGTAGGGGTTTATATAGGAAGAGGGTTTTAAGAGAGCCTTCTTTGGTAATCTACAGCTTTTCATTGGTTCGTTTCCAATACTACAGGGACATTTTGGGTAAATTCTTCAAACTTAACCAAGACCAAATTATAGTAAATTTTTGGTCATTGATATTCCATAAGTATATTTAACCTTTCACTGACTATTTACTGGAGTTACTAAAATATGTAATTAATCATATGTGAATGATACTTTTCTACTCTTAGATCATATTTTGAGGGGATCTTAGTTATAAAAACAGTCTAAAAACCCTAACATATAATATTTTTTATATGACAGGATGAAAAAATACATACTTTGATTAATCGAGTGTCAAATATATCTTAGCCGAACATCATGTCAACAAAAGTAAAAACAAAATCAAGAACTAAGGGGCTAAAAGTAAAATTATCTCTTAATTTTATCAAAGTACTACTTAATTTTTTTTAAAATTTTCAGAAAATATTATTAATGATAATAAGATAAGATGTTCATGGTGTTAGGATGTATGTTATGTTTTCTTTGGAAAGAAAAACTAACGTAGGGTTTACACGTATGAATTGATAGAAGAGATTTTGCTTATTGGTGCACCCATGGTAACTCCTGCGTTCTTGTAGCACGTTAGTCTCGAGTATTATATGGAAATAATAAAATATAGATTTTGAACTTTGATTATTATTATTATTTCGGTACATTAGAAAATATTAAAGAACGTACTAAAATTCTTTATAAGAAAAAAAATTTAGTTATCGTTACGTGCTCATACAAACACATGAGACACACAGTGGCGGAGCTATATGTACCCAAGAGATATAAAACGACACTCATTTATTAAAAAATTATACTGTTTAACTCGATAATTTATTTTTAAAATATATATATATTATATAATGACACTTTTTAATTTGTTGATGGGTTTATTTTTTTATATTTTGATTTCTGTTAATGAAAATAGTGGCTCTGCACCTGAGACGCACATGAGCATACACAATAAAAAGTTGGCATGGTCAAAATGAGGTAAGCCATGACATGTCATTGTTACTTCGCTCATCAACTCAATCATAATCTCTCAGTATGTCACCAATCTACAATTAATAATTAGTATTTTATTTCTCCAATCAATTGTATGAATTAGAGTAGTATGTGTTAACACTTATCAACAGCGAGGTACATAATCTTTTGCTTTCTATTATATTCAAAAGTATCCTTCTCTGAAGTTCTTCTCCCCAAAATCTTTTAAGAATGTCAAGATTAAAAATAAAAATAAAATCCTATCCAAATATATCTATGTAAACAAAACACATGTTTTATGTTACAGCCAAATATAACTTTATTTTTAATCAGTTGAATCAAACATCTACTAGTAAAATATATGCACTGAATAAATATTATTTAATTCTCGTATTATAGTTCTCACGTTATTGACCCTTCTGTGCTCTCTGAAAGTTCTTTAAGAAGACCAACATTAAAATTAAAAATAAAAGTTATTCAAGTTAAAAGATATTTTATCAAAGTTACTCATGGATCAATTTGAATTAAAAATTAACCCAATTTTAATTGGGTTTGAGATAGATTGAATCAAGATGGAATGAGTTCAATGAATGAGCGTGTCAATAACCAACCCAACCTTGGGCGGGTGTCAAAATGGCATGGCATAGTCATTTTTACGGGTGGCTATCCAAAATTAGCCCACATCGCTAATGTCATTGATTTCTAGCCATTTTAACTTAAAATATATAGGTAATTAACATTTTTGCCCTTCTTCTTTTAAACGTCCTTTTTAGGTAGTTTTTGTTTTTACATTTTCGCTTTTTTCATGATTTTCTCTTGAGAACACTTTACGGATTTTGCGACTTCAGTAGGTCAAATTTTGTTTGGGTAAGTGTGATTTTTACAATACTATTATTGAATTTTATTCTAATTGTTGCTTCATTTGTTTTAATTTAGATTTTGTTAATGTGAGCGTTTAAATTTTCGTGGCATTTTAACATCGACGAATTTTTTTCTGTTCTGTTGTTCAACTTATTTCTGATAATTTTGTCATTCTATTCTTAGTTTTATTTTGTAATAGTTGCTTAACTTGTTTTCATAAGTTGTTCAAATATTTATAACTGTTGTATATTAGGGTAAATTTTAAGTAGTCTGTTGATTCTACTCCACTATAGTTTGATGGAGTTCTTGTCATAACTTGAAATCCAGAACAATGTGCTGGACTTCATACTTCAAAATTTGATTCTTGTATATTATGCTAGAAGTCTGATCTATGAAGGCTTATTATCCAGTATTTTATACTAGATGAGTATAATATACTAAATTCTTTTTATTTCTGATAACTTGTTTTAAATGATAATTTGCCTCTTTTTTTATATGCTGGATTTGATAATTTTCTTCAATTGTAATCCAGTAATTTTTTTTTTCTGGATTTGTCATATCTTTTTATTTATTTTTAGTTGATTTGTTAAAATATTTGTAGCCGTTGTATATTAGGCTAGATTTTAAGTAGTTTGTTGATTCTACTGCAGTATAGTTTGTTGGAGTTCTTGCCATGTACTTCAAAATTTAGTTCTTGTATATTATGCTGGGAAGTCTAATATCTGAAGGCTTGTTATCCAATTTTTTATACATGATGAGTATAATATACTGTAACATTTTTTATTTATGATAACTTGCACTTCAAAATTTGGTTCATATATATTATGCTGGAAGTCTAATCTCCAAAAGCTTGTTGTCCAGCTTTTTATACTGGATGAGTATATTGGATTTGATCATGTTTTTCCATTCTAATCCAGTATTTTTTGTTGGCTTTCTATTATTTCTCATAACTTGAAATCCAGAACATTTTGCTCGAGTTTTTGGTTCCTGTATATTATGCTGGAAGTCTGAACTCTGAAGGCTTGTTGTTTAGTATTTTATACTGTATGAGTATAAAATACTGAAAATCTTTTTATCTCTAATAACTTATTTTTAATGATAATTTGCCTTTTTTATATGTTGTATTTGATCATGTTTTTCCATTCTACTCCAGTATTTTTTGTTGAAGTTTCATTATTTTTAGTAACTTGAAATCCAGAATAACGTGCTAGCCTTCATAATTTAAAATTTGATTCTAGTATATTATGCTGGAAGTTTGATCTATGAAGGCTTATTGTCCAGTATTTTATACTGGATGAGTATAATATACTGGAGTTATTGTCACGACTTGAAATTTCCCACCGACGGGACCGTGATGGCGCCTAACATTTTACTTCCTAGGCAAACCAACGTTAGAGAATCATTAAACTAATTTCTTATTTCCATTCATTAAATAACAATAATTAACTAAGGTGAAAGATAATAAGTGCGGAATTTTATAAAACTGTATTAATTACTACCACCCGGATCTGGAGTCACAATTAACGAGCATTCTAGAATTTACTACAAGTAATAGTCTAAAGAAATACAACTGTCTCAATGAAAGAAAACAGTAGGACATAAAAGATAGACGGGGACTTCAAGGTCTGTGAACGCCGACAGATCTACCTTGAGTCTCCGGACAATGGACCAATAGCAAAATCTCGATCAACCTGAGCCGGTATCAAAATCTGCATAGAAAATGCAGAGTGCAGTATCAGTACAACTGACCTTATGTATTGGTAAGTGTCGAGCCTAACCTCGATGAAGTAGTGACGAGGCTAAGGCAAGGCACCTATAAATCAACATGTACAATTTAACAATGTATATACAAATAACAGAAATGAAGAACTAAACAGAAAATGTCGGGAGAGGAACATACTAAGGGGAATACAAGATAAAGAACGACAACAGAATGATTACCGGAGCAGTCAATATACCATGAATCAATAGGAATAGTGAATACATTAAAAAAAAATGCACGGCATCACCCTTCGTGCTTTTACTCTCAATCTCACCATAAAATTAATAGAAACGACACGACATCACTCTTCGTGCATTAACTTTCATATCATGGCGCGACATCACCCTTCGTGCATTAACACTCACAATATGGCACGGCATCACCCTTCGTGCATTAACACTCACAATATGGCACGGCATTACCCTTCGTGCATTAACACCCTCTCTTACCATAATGCAATGCATAAATAACAACATTGAGATAGAATAACAAGTACAAACCTTACTTCAACATTTGGTTCCATAATATCAATCTCAACTTTGAATAAAAACTCAATTATCACCAGAAAATCTGTAAACATGATAAGAAAGATAAATCGAACAACACTAGTATAACACGTAGCAATTAGGCATAGAAAAAAGACAATATAAAAAAAATAGAGAAACATGAAAAACAGGTAAATTGGCGGCACATAAGTACTCGTCACCTCACATATACGCCGCTCACATGGAATTCACTTAGCAAGTAATCTAAGGTTCCTAATTCCCTCAAGTCAGGGTTAGACACAACACTTACCTCGCTCCGAAGGCCACTTAATTCTCAATCACAGCTTTTCCTTTGGGATTCACCTCCAAACCACTCGTATCCATTCAAAAATGACTCAATAATATCAAATACTGCTAAAGGAATCAATTATATTGCATAAATTAAATTTTCCAAATTTTTCTCCAAAAAGTCAAAAAATCACCTCGCGCCCGCTTGGTCAAAATCCGAGGTTCGGACCAAAATCCATTTATCCATTCACCCTCGAGCTCGAATATAATTGGTTTTGGAATCCGACCTCAAATTGAGGTCTAAATTCCCAAATTTTTGAAATTCCTAGTTTCTACCCTAATCCCTAATTCTACCATGAAAACTCTAGATTTTAGGTTGATAATTCAAGAAATGTAATGGGTAATTAAAAGAAAATGGTTTAGAATCACTTACCAACACTTTGGGGAAGAAAATGACTCTTGAAAATCGCCTCTACCCATTTGGTTCTTGAAAGATGTTGAAGAAATGGCTTAAACTCGTGTTTGATTCTGTTTTATGCACTGGGCGACAGTGTGCATCGCGTT